TGAATTGAATTGAATTGAATTAAGTAAGAATATCAATTATCAGCTGCCTGAAAGATGGAGCTACGATGCTTGGAGACCAAGCACGTTTCCAATTGTAATTGCTCAGGCCTCTCCAAGAAGAAAAGACACAGAGGTGTTTGTATTGTCTCTGTATGAACAGCATTTAAATTGGGAAAACAACGCATGGGAAAATCCCACTTGCAGATATGGAGTGTTGCTATGGCTCTGATTTTATTTATTCATTTTATTAATTTATAATATAAAATACAAAAAAACAAAAAATAGTAGGACAATTAGAGAGGAAGAAGTGAAGGGAAAAGTGTAAGGAAAAAGGAAAGAAAGAAAGAAAAGGCATTGACTTCCAACTCCCTTTGGTGCAGTAGAATAAGATAATAGCATCAAACCTCAATGTTTTACTTTTACTTTTACATCATAGTAAAAACTAGACATTTCTGTAACAATAAACAGTAAAACCCAAAATCAAAGTTTCATTTTTTCCCCATCTCAAGCACAAAACCCAGAAGTGGTTTCCAAGTAGAAAGAAAAGTAATTTCTTCTTAATCTCAGAAGTCAATTTAGTCATCTCTTCTAACTCCGTCAACGTTTTCAGCCATTTTTCCATTGTGGGAATCAAAGTGTCCTTCCATTTTTGTGTATACAGTAATCCTGCTGCTGTCAACATATATAACATCTATGGCTCTGATTTCAAACACCTCCACCTCCTTCCCCAAATAAAAAAGAGATACAAGGAAGAGATTGTATGGGGAAGTAAAGCTGGAATTGCTGTCTGTACTTTGGAAGAGTACAGACAGAAATGTTTTCCATTTACCTTCCCAGGGCTCAGTATAGCTCATGCTTTTTTCCCCCCCCTCAAAAGGATATAAAAGTTTATGGCCCTAGAAACCTGAGAAATATGCTCGTGCATGCATTCATTCTTACAAGCATCCAAGCTGGCATTCCAGCTACTTGACTAATTGAGTCACATCTGGTGTCCAGAGGCAGTCTCACCCCACCCAGAGCCTTAGCTTGCAAAAGCTAATGCTAAAACAGAATGTTGTGTGTGTTTAGGAGAGAAAGGAGACAGCAAACAGCCTGCAGGTGAGGAAGTGAGAGGTAATATTCTGGAGACTGATAGCTATTACAGGCTAGTCTATCAGTCAGTTGCAAGGACCACAAGCTATGTTCCTGGTGGGGTTCCTTGTCTGGAGCCTCGCTTGGAAGCTCAGCTGGAATGCTGGAAAGCAACACTGCTTAAGAGCAGAGCTTTGAATGGATCTCAGCAGCACCTAGAAGAGGGTCTATGACCTGCCACAGCCAAGTCACCATGGCCAACTTGCTACAGGACATATCCAATGCGTCCTGCTCACCTTAGCATGGGTCTCTAGTCTCACCCACTGAAAATCCCCTGGCGCCCCACGGGCTGCTCAGGCTTCAGCTCCCCTGCGAGTGGAGTTTCTTTTCCACCTCCATGCAGAGGAAGTCCTACTGCAGAGCGCAAGAGAGAAAAACTCATCATGGCCATCTTGCCACAGGACAACTTGCTGCAGGATAAGAGTTACACTAATATCAAAGGAATGGTGAAATTAAAGAAAGGATGCAAAAGAAAGGAGAGAATCAAGTGTGAACAGCAAAAATTAAAATAATTTGTATTTATTTTAAATAGTTAAATAGAATTGTTAAATTGTCCCACAACAAGTTGTCATGTAGCGAGTTGACGGTGGCGAGTTCTCCTGCCACATGTTGGCTGTGGTGAGTTGGCCACAGTGAGTTTGCTGCAGCAAGTTGGCTGTGGCAAATTGTCTCATTCCCCTTAGAAGAAGCAACCACACTGAAAAAGGACCTTAATCCCAACTAGTGCAAGACCTTTTGGAGAAGGGAAAGGTTGGGTGCTACTTTGTGGACTTTGAGACTTTGGTTTGAACTGAGCCTTAACAGACTGAGTATAAAGCGCTGAGTATTAAAGGCATACAGCTATGCGGCAACATCACCATGCAAAGTTATGGAAGGGTAGAGTTGACCCAGAGCTCAATAGTTGTTGGGCTGCAATAAAGGACTGTATATAGATTTGCTACATTATGTTATTCCAGGCCTTGTAGAGCACAAAACTCTTACACTCCTGTCAATTGGTTGCCCTCATCTTGTCTATTCTGCCTCTGAGGTTCAATAGCTTCTGTTTACATTGGTACTTTAATCCATAGAAAATTATTTAAACAAAGAAAAAAAAATCCCCAGATTTCTGGGAAGATGATTCCAATAGCACATTCTAAGCTACTTTGGTGCATGCATGGAATCAAGGCAAGGATGCACAATGAGTCAAACTGGAAGCTAAGCCTCTTTAAAAATGCCCTTGCAGATTGATACATCTTTTCATGTGAGAGTGGCAGCAATAGTTTCTGTTGCATCCTTGGAGATGAACATCTTTTCCCTGGGAGAGCTGAAAGAGTGATCTTGAGTGGATTAGAAGATTTAACTCCAGATAGATAGATAGATAGATAGATAGATAGATAGATAGATAGATAGATAGATAGATAGATAGATAGATAGATAGATAGATAGATAGATNAGATAGATAGATAGATAGATAGATAGATAGATAGATAGATAGATAGATAGATAGATAGATAGATAGATAGATAGATAGATAGATAGAGCCAGCCAGCCAGCCAGCCAGCCAGACAACAGACAGACAGACAGACAGACAGACAGACAGACAGACAGACAGACAGACAGACAGACAGACAGACAGACGCCTTCAAGTCAACTCCTGGTGAACAAGTCCCTGCATTTCTGGCAAAGTTTTTTGGGAAATGAATTGCCTTGTGTTTCTTCCTAGGATTGAGAGAAGGACTAGCTAAAGTTCACCCAGACGCCTTTGTGCTTATGGCAGAACTAGAATTCCCGGTCACCCAGTTTCTAGCCTAACACTTTAACCAATACCCTAGCTGACTTGAGAGGGGGGGAGGGAGGGAGAGAGAGGGAGAGAGAGGGGGGGATGTCTGGAGCAGATTCCTAAATACATTCACATTTCTACTGAAATTATATTGGCATAAAACTCTCTTCCTGAAAACAAGACTTTAAACTATTTCACATACATACCTGTCACCATCTACAGCAGGGGTCCCCAAACTGGGCAACTTTAAGACTTGTAGACTTCAATTCCCAGAATTCTCCAGGCAGCAAGTTGCCAAGTTTGAAGACCTCTGATCTACAGAGAACATCCCAGAAATCTTCCACTAGGATCTTTTCATTATATTCATTTGGTATTTCCCCCCCTAAGTTTGAACTCTGAAAAAGATGGCCTCTTAGCTCAGTGGTAGCTGTCCTGTATACCAACAATCCCAGGATAATTTCCTAGCAGGTGCAGGTTGAAAAGCACCTTGAAGCCTCAAGTTAAGAAAGTGTGTCATTAAGGCCAAGAACTGGAGTGAGTCCAGATGGAAGAGGCTTGGCTGAAAGAGAAATTGGCCCAAATAGAACCAACTTGCTTATGCTGTAGATTGAAGATGTTCCCTTCCTTCTCTGATACTCAGCAATTTAGTTTCTATCCTCAGTTCCCATTATTGTTTAACCTATTTGTGCCAGAAGGTGCATATGTTTTCCCAGTTTCTACTCCTGAATCATTAACAAACAAGCTGATTATTTTGTCTCAGCTGAATCACAGAAATTAGGCTTTGGAGGCTAACTTCTTCGGGGTCCAAGGATTCTAATGATACAGCTTTAGCCCCTTGCTTTAGAGGTTAGAGCACAAAATATGCCAACTATCCCATAACCCATTTCCATAAATAGCCTATTGAGAACTGCCACAGAATCAAGAGACAGAAAAACAAACAGTAACATCATTATACTGCTTTGCAGGCAAGCTCACTGCAAATGAAGCTGTCCTTTATCAGCGTCTGTGCTCATTCTTCTAGATTAGCGATGTACTACTAGCACATGTAGAATTACATGCACAGGCTAATAACTCTCATTATTAAATACGACCAGGCCAATTTTGCAATTTATAGTAATTCCGAGTAAAATTACTGGCTCTGGGCCTGAGATATAAAGTTGCTTTATGGTCCTGGAGGATGAACCTATTTACAAAGCCATCAAAGAATCCTCACCAAAGTGGTTGATCATTCTGGACAAAACAACTATACTAGGAAATCAAATGCTTTGGAGCTAAAAATGTTAACAGTGTAGCTTAAAATGAAAGATTGATACCAAGCAAGAGGAAAGACGCACGCTGAAGTTTTAGAATGGTATACTCTATTGTTGAAATGTGGCCCCATTGTCAAGGCTAAAGATACATACAGGTAGTCCTCAACGTATGACCACAATTAAGTCCAAAAATTATATTGCTAGGTGAGATATTTGTTAAGAGAGTTTTGCCCCATTTTACA